TCAAGCCTGCGTTGAAGAACATGGACGACGCCAGCGTGAAAGCCGTGATCCAGATGGAAGGGCGCCAGCCTCTCATCACGGCCATCAAAGCAATGACGCAGAACCATGGAATGTGGAAACATTTGGCGAGTACAATTTCTGGCCTCATCGACTTGCGCGACCTCGAGGAGCAGGTCCAGAAGGACTTGCAGCTTCGCGAGAGCGCTCGCACCATGATCGCAGTTCGCAGCGGCTTGAGCATCATCGCTGAGGGTGACGGGACACTGGTCAAGCCTTACTTTGCAGAGATGAAGTCGGCGAAGGCGAGCATCCCAGCCAGGCTCTGCAAGGAGCTCGACAAGCTCGCGTCGTCTGCTGGCGAGGACGCCGGCGAGGGTGAGGACGCAGGCGACGACGCAGAGCAGGCTGCGTGCGCCGACGTGGACATTGAGCAGGACGACTAGGGGATCGCACACCAAGCACGCAGCAGTGGGAGGAAGTGCCAGCGCTCTCAGGCCTGGGCGGCCCCCGTGGTTTAAGAGCCGAGCCTGAGAGACTGGCCGCTGCAGCAGTACAAATAGATGTACTGTGCACTGTGCAACTAGAGTTACTCCCCAGCTGTGCTGGGGGGCGCGGTGCGAGTGGGGACTGCCCGGCGTTGCGCCGTTAGTGACCCTCGCACCGTTGCTCCCCGCATGTCTGCTTTTGTTCTGCGCCCAGGCTAGACCTGGTCTCCGCACGCCTCGTCAGTCAGTCAGTCCTCCTCCTCCTCCTCCTCCTCCTCCTCCTCCTCCCTCCCCCTCGCCCTCCTCATCCCCCTCCTGCTTTTCCTGCTCCCGGGGGATTCTCTGGGGCTCAATCCCCTTACTCATGTTCGGGCTTCGCCCATTCCGCTGCTCCATGACGCTCAAAGCTCATGGGGCTAAGGGGACAATCGGTGGAGCCCCCTCTTCATGTTAAGGTCCCCCCTCCGCTCTCTGGTGCTCACGGGGTCCCCTAAGGTTTCCTGTTCTATGGCGCTCCGGGGCCCTCTAAAGCTTTGCCGACGTCCGCCTGGCCCATACACCATACGCGATACCCCCATGCCCCATGCCCCATGCCCCATACCCCATACCCCATACCCCATACCCCCATGCCCCGAGACCCCAGACCCCATACCCCATACCCCATACCCCATACCCCATACTCCATGCCCCATGCCCCATGCCCCATGCCCATGCCCCATGCCCAATAACCCTATACCATACACCATACACCACCATACCACCATACACCATACCACCATACCACCATACCACCATACCCCATACCATACACCATACCACCATACCACCATACCACCATACCACCATACCACCATACCATACCCCATACTCTTGTTAGGGCTTCGTCCCCATGGCGCTCACTAGGGCTCTCTCAAGCTTTGCCAACGTCCGTCTGCACCTTATTCATGTTAGGGCTTCGTGCTGCGCCCCCTCCGATCCATGGCGTTCAAGGGGCGTTGTAAGGCTTTTACTCATGTCTCATGTCTCCTGTCAGGGCTTCGCCCCCTCCGCTCCATGGCGCTCGAAGGGGCCCCCTAAGGCTTTGCCGACGTCCGCCTACCCCTTACTCATGTCAGGGCTTCGCCCCCTCCGCTCCATGGCGCTCAAGGGGCCCTCTAAGGCTTTGCCGACGTCCGCCTACACCTTACTCCTGTCAGGGCTTCGCCCCCTCCGCTCCATGGCGCTCCAGGGGCCCTCTAAGGCTTTGCCGACGTCCGCGTACCCCTTACTCATGTCAGGGCTTCGCCCCCTCCGCTCCATGGCGCTCGAAGGGGCCCCCTAAGGCTTTGCCGACGTCCGCCTACCCCTTACTCATGTCAGGGCTTCGCCCCCTCCGCTCCATGGCGCTCAAGGGGCCCTCTAAGGCTTTGCCGACGTCCGCCTACACCTTACTCCTGTCAGGGCTTCGCCCCCTCCGCTCCATGGCGCTCCAGGGGCCCTCTAAGGCTTTGCCGACGTCCGCCAACCCCTTACTCATGTCAGGGCTTCGCCCCCTCCGCTCCATGGCGCTCAAAGGGGCCCTCTAAGTTGTTGCCGCTGTGCCTGCCCCATACCCCCAGGCCCATACCCCATGCCCTATGCCCCATACCCCTATACTCCCATTCCCCTGTACCCTGTAACCCATACCCCATATCCCCTTGCCCATGCCCCATACCCCACGCCCCATGCCCCATGCTCCATGCCCCATAATCCCATACCCCATACACCTATACCCATTTGCCCCATACCCCATACCCCACACCCCATACCCCATACCCCATACCCTATACCCTATACCCTATACTCGTGTCAGGGCTTCGCCCCCTCCGCTCCATGGCGCTCGAAGGGGCCCTCTAAGGCTTTGCCGACGTCCGCCTACCCCTTACTCATGTCAGGGCTTCGCCCCCTCCGCTCCATGGCGCTCAAGGGGCCCCCTAAGGCTTTGCCGACGTCCGCGTGCACGCTACTCATGTTTTCATGTCAGGGCTTCGCCCCCTCCGCTCCATGGCGCTCAAAGGGGCCCTCTAAGATAAATCTACATTTAATTTCAAAAGCGAAATTGAAAAATCCTGGAGCCCTTTAAGGAGGCTGAAGGAACGCGTGCTTTTTTTGTATTGTCACAATATAGAATATAAACTGAAGCTCAGAGTTGCGCGACCGCGGGTCACCATGGTGACCTGGCGCGCGCGCGCGCCTCTGAGTTTCAGTTCTATATTATTCATTATTCACAAGAAATAATTCTGAATTCAATTCCAAGAACGAAATTGAAAAATCCTGGGGCCCTTTAAGGAGGCTGAAGGATCGCGTCGGCTTTTTGTATTGTGACAGTATAGAACTGAAGCTCAGAGTTGCGCGCGCGCGCGCGCGGGTCACCATGGTGACCCGGCGCGCGCGCGCGCCTCTGAGTTTCAGTTCTATATTATTCATTACTCACAAGAAATAATTCTACATTCAATTCCAAGAACGAAATTGAAAAATCCTGGGGCCCTTTAAGGAGGCTGAAGGAACGCGTCGGCTTTTTTATATGTGACAATACAGAACTGAAGCTCAGAGTTGCGCGCGCGCGCGCGCGGGTCACCATGGTGACCCGCGCGCGCGCCTCTCTGAGCTTCAGTTCTATATTGTTCACAAGAGATAATCCGACATTCAATTCCAAGAACGAAATTGAAAAATCCTGGAGCCCTTTAAGGAGGCTGAAGGAAAGCGTCGGCTTTTTATATTGTGACAATATAGAACTGAAGCTCAGAGCTGCGCGCGCGCGCCTCTGAGTTTCATTTTTATACTGTTCACAAAAAATAATGTACATGTAAGTCAAAGAAAGAAATTGAAAAGTCGTAGCATTCTAGCATTCTTTAAGACAGCTGAAAGAACGCGTCGGCTTTTTTATATTTCGACAATACAGAACTCATGTCAGGGCTTCGCCCCCTCCGCTCCATGGCGCTCCAGGGGCCCTCTAAGGCTTTGCCGACGTCCGCCTACCCCTTACTCATGTCAGGGCTTCGCCCCCTCCGCTCCATGGCGCTCAAGGGGCCCTCTAAGGCTTTGCCGACGTCCGCGTGCACGCTACTCATGTTTTCATGTCAGGGCTTCGCCCCCTCCGCTCCATGGCGCTCAACGGGCCCTCTAAAGCTTTGCCGCTTTGTCGACGTCCGCCTGCCCCATACCCCTGTACCCTGTACTCCATACCCCATAGCTCCATAGCTCATACCCCCATACGCAAAACCCAATATCGCCAATACCCCATGCCCCATAACTCCATACCCCATACCACGTACCCCACACCCCATACCCCATACCCCATACCCCATACCCCATATACCATACCCCATACCCCCATAACCCATACCCCATACCCCATACCCTATACCTACACGCCTACACCCCCTACCCCATACCCCATACCCCATACCCCATATTCGTGTTACGGCTTCGCCCCCTCCGTTCCATGGCGCTCAAAGAGGTCCTCACAAGCTATGCCGACGTCCGCCTACTCCGTCCGTTCCGGCCCTGCAGAGATCCCCAGGGCGCTTGACAAATTTAGCCTATGGGGAGGTCTCCCAGGAGGCAGGAGCGGTGCTAATGATGCAAGGGTTGTCCGCCCTCTTGGGGCTTTCTCGGGGCCCTCTCGGGGTTCCAAGGGGGCCCCGTGCACACGTGCAAATACGATATACGATATACGATATACGGAGATATGACATTCATCATTCATCATTCATCATTCATCTATTGATCCATTCAGCGGTTTGCCGTTTTGGCTCAAGCCCTGTTGCACTACTGTTGTGCATTATGCATTACGTTGCGCTGAAGCCTTCGATGGATTCGGCAGGATCTGGGCCGCGCCCGCCGCGCCCATGGCTGCTGGAGTCGCCAGACCCGCGCTGGGAGCGGGCGGAGCGGCAGCGGCAGGAGCGTGATCTGCAGCAGTGGGATCGCAGGGCGTCCAGAATGCTGTCGACGGGCTCCTCTGAAGAGGAGGCTGAGCCCCCGCGCCAGCGACAGCGGCAGGTCGCACTGGCCGCCCCAGACGCTTCAGGCCACTGCGGCCGCGCAATTGCTCCATCATCGGTTCACATTGCTGCAACAGGCAACTACTTTGCCATCGCTCCATCCGCCAAATTGGATGTCCCAGGTGCTGCAAGCCATGGCTGCGCTGTCGCTCTGTCAGCCGCCGATGCCGGGGGGCAGGTCCCACTGGCCGTCCCAAGCGTCACAGATCATGGTTGTGCCGAGGTGTCGCTGGTCGTTGCTCCACTGCGCTCTTCACGATCATCAGTAGCGACAGCACAGCCGCGGCCTGCCGACGCCATCATCAAGAATGCGGCCTACCCTGCAGCATCATCAATGGCCATGGCCAGTGCGACCTGCCCTTCAGCCTCAGCCTCCTCCTCCTCTGGCGCAGTGGCGGCGGGGCAGTCTTGGTCGAAGGGGATTCCCTGGGCGCCATCGACGCGCGAGGAGCGCGCAACTGCGAGGTGGGCTAGAGGGCAAGACGATGCCATGCAACTGATCGCGGAGGCGACGCGATCGATCCATGAGGTCACCGTGTTCCGAGAGCGGTCGCTGGCGCAGTCGGAGGAGCCCAAGTTCCTGGACTTGGAAGATGAGGAGCTGATCCGGCGGTTGGGAACCGCCTTGCTCAGCCCCGATAGCCAGAGTGGCGAGGACTATAGGCCTGCAGTATTCTACATAGGGTCCACCTCCAGTCCGTCGTGGCGATGGCAGGGGGGCTGGTATCTCGCATCGGAACACAGCGGGCGCCATGCCCGCCGCCAGGATGGCCGAGAGTGGATGCCAGGCCACTGTATCAAAGGGCCCTGGCCTGGCCGCGGGTGGGGGCGCATGGTGGTGCTCGGAGCCTGGCCCGACAGGGAGACCGCTCGCCTTGAGCCTCTCTGCATCGCTGAGGGGCGCCGCCTCATTGGCGGTCGCCTCACAAATAAGGCAGACGACGCGCGTGGCCTGGAAATCCGGCCCTGTTCTTATTCTTTCATTTATGTATGTTTTAGCTGACACAGGAAATGCATGAATGCATTAGCTACTCGCTGTGTCATTGCGCGCGTGCGTATGTGAAAATAATGTTAGCATCAGCTGCGTGATGACCAATACCCAATACCCAATACCCAATACCCTTTACGCTAGAAGTCACACCCAGGAGTGGGAGGAGGAGGGATGCGAGACAAGAGCGTCCCAAGACCTTCCGCCAGGCGAAGTGTAAGCAGTGTTTGCGGAGCAGTTGAAGCCCCCTGGGCTATCTTGGGCCTCCCTGGGGCCCTCGTTGGGACTCCTGGGGCCCCTCGTGGACCTCCCTGGCACCCTTCTTGGGCCTCCTGTTCCTACTCGTTCACACTGGCTGAATGAACAAAGCACTGAACTGATGAATTGATGAGAAAACAAACAGCAGAATGGGACATCGCATACGTCAACAAACCGCTCAAACATGAATTGCTGAATGGGCGAACCTTTCTGACTGGCAAACTCCCTCAGAATTCCTCCAGAATTCCCTAAGAATTCCTTCACAATTCCTTCAAAAATCCCTCAGAATTCCTTCGATTGACTTGTACAAATACTGTTTGAGTGCGTTTTCGCAGTCATTTCAATGACGTAGAACATGATATTTGTACGCATAGTGTTTGAATAGTTTTTCACTGTCATTTCAACGGCGTAGAACCTTAAACCTTGTGCAAATACTGTTCGCGCGTATGTTGACTGTCATTTCAGCGGCGTAGAACACTATAGCCTGTACAAATAGTGTTTCGGTGTGCGGGTGACCCAAAAATCACTGGTACCCTATCTGGACGATACCTCTATTTGGGAGGGAACAGAGATCTCTGGGGAAAAGATTAGCTAAATGATGATGATGCTGATGATGTCTATGATGGTGATGATGATGCGGATACGGTCGGTGATGATGATGTTGCTTCTGCTGCTGATGGTGCTGATGGTGATGTTCATGCAGGGGGGATGAGGATGAGGATGAGGATGGTGTTGTGATGGTAAGGGTATCGCTGATGATGGTCATGGTGATAGTGATGATGATGATGACGATGATGATGATGATGATGATGATGATGATGATGATGATGATTACTGTTGCTGCTGAGGATGATCATGATGCTGATGATGCTGATGCTAATGATAATGCTAATTAGGTTAATTATGGGTTGATGGTAATCATGCTGGTTGTGATAATGTTGTTGCTGCTGATGCTGATGCTGATGCTGATGCTGATGATGATGATGATGATGATGATGATGGTGATGATCATGATGCTGCTGATGCTGCTGATGATGCTGATGATGATTATGATGACGGAGATGATGATGATGTTGATGATGATGAGGAGGAGGATGACGATGAGGATGGGGAGGAAGAGGAATAGTCACATGTGACACTTTTGGTCTTCACTGTGAGATGCTCTCATGGGTCTCGTTGGGGCCGTCTTGGGGCTGTCTCGGCCTCCTGCGAGGCAGTCTTGGGGATCCCTTGGGGCCCTCTCGGGCCGTCCTGGGGCTCCATTACGCCAACTTGGTGTTCTCGTGTGCCGTCTTGGGGCCCTCTTGGCCGTATGGTGGGTGCCTAAAGGCCGTCGTGGGCCGTCATAAGCCGTCGACCGGTTTTCTAAGGCCGCTATGGGTCCCACGGAAGGCCCTCTGAGGCCGTCTTTGACTTGTTCTGTGCGCTGTCGCCTCGCGAGCGCGGATCTGCAGTATTTTATGATGGGTTGTGGCCTCGGAGTGCCCAGCAAGGGCCCCCAAGAGAGCCCCGGGAGGCCTCCCGGCGGCCCAAGGCAGCCCAAGATATGGCGCCAAGATGACCCGCGAGAGCCCACGCAGAGCCCAAAGACACGTCCAGGCAGCCCAAGAAGATTCCAGTAGGCCCCCAAGAGGACCCCGACATGCTCCCAAGAGGCTCCCAGGATGCCCCAAGATAGCCCCAGATGGCCCCAACAGCCCCCAGGGTAGCCTCATTAGATCACGAGGACCCCCCTCCTTTCTCGAACTCCGTTTTCTCGGGCTCCTACCGTCCTCCTTCGTCGTCGTCCTTCTTTTCCTCCTCATCCTTCTCCTCCTGTCTCTTCGCTTCGTTCCTCCTCGTACTCTTCCTCATCCATCTCTTCCTTTTCGTCCTCTTGCCTGTGTTCCTACTCGTTCTCCTCCTCCTCGCACCGCTGCCCTCCCCGTCATCCACGTTGTCATCTTCGTCATCCACCGCCTTGCTGCCGCCATCACCCTTACGAGCCCAATGGACAACATCGGCGCTTCCCGTTCTTGTCCGATGAGGTTTTTCTGTGCGTTGCCGCCTCGAGAGCGAATCTGCCGCATGTTGCTATGGGTTGTGGCCCCGTGGGGCGCGAACTTGTTGCATGTTCCAAAGGATTATGGCCTCGGGAGTGCGAATCTGCATTCGTTTGTGAAGGGTTATGGCCCCAGAAGGGGGCGATGCGCGCGAGGCAATTTTGAGGAGGGGGGGAGTGGCCCTGAGAAGACTGCAGCACTTGACACGCTAAAACGCCTCAGCTTGCCAGGGGGCACGGAGGCGGATTTGGCCCTTCTCGGACGTTTGGTGAGTCTCTTGGGGCCATCTCGGGTTCCCTCTTGAGCTGGCCTGGGCCCCTCCGGGTCCTAAAGAGGTCTTCTTTGGGCGGTCCGAGGCCGTCTGGGGGGCTTCGTGTGGCCCTTGTTGGGCTTTTTTGGCCTCTTTCGTGCGCCCCTCCTGCCATCATCTTGAGCCGGTTCCTGCGCAACGCGTTCAGAAGCCGTACGAATTCATAGGATGCTCGATTGTTCTCGGCCTCCTGGGAGGGCCTCTTGCCCTTCTCTCTGTGGTGTCGTGAGACCGTTTGGGGCTGTTGAGTTCCTCTTGGGGCAATGTTGGGTGATTTGGCTTGACGATGAAGATGACGATAACCATGCCGATGACGATGACGTCATCGTCATCGTCATCGTCACTGGCCGTCCTGGTCCTCCTTGGATGCTGTGGAGAGCCCTGGGGAGCGCCAGGGAAGCGTCAGGGCGCCCAGAAACCCCGTGGAATGGCGGGGGCGATGCACGCAACGAGGTGCTACCAGGCTGTGGAGGGGCCTTAGAATACCTGTCGTCGTCGTCCTCGTCATTGACCTCGTCCTCGTCGTCCTCGTCGTTCTCGTCCTCGTCCCCACCCTCGTCTCGTCCCTGTCGTCGTCCTCATCCTCGTCCTCGCCCTCCTCGTAGTCGTCCTCGTCTTCGTCCCCGTCGTCGTCGCCGATAAACATTACAAGGAGGCACTTGACATTCTCCCACGCCTCAGCGTGCCTCGGGGCACGATGGCGGATCTGGTTCTTCGGGGCAGCTTTCGAGGCCGATTGCTCTCCATCTGTGCTGCCCCAGTGCGTCCGTGTGGAAACGCAACACTTGCCGTGGTCAAAACGTCTGGATCAGACACGCTGCGTGTTTTTTAACACGTGTCGGCCTACGTTTCGGCGAATGCATCGCGCCAGACTTGCGCTCGCAGTCTACGTGTTGAGTTTCGTGCCCGCAAGCTCCACGGTCTGCGTGTTCCGTATCAGGGCAGCTAAGGTCCCTATTGTATAATTTCCCGCGGGAGCGTCAGACTCGAGTACACCGGAATTCTGGTTTGCCGACGTTTTTGACAGCCCCATTTTGGATGTTGACGGCCCAGTTCTCGTAGGATGTTTGCAGCGGGACTTCGCGTTAAATTTCAGGCTGGGTCTCGTCATTTTCCCGACGGCCCCGCCAGGCCACCCCGTTCCCCCCGAACCCGAGTTTTATGTCTCCCCGAATAGATTCCCATTTGATCATTTCGTTTCGGCTACGCGCAGACGGGGGTAGGAGGGGGGGGGAAGGCTTCTTAGACGCACCCCTGCTTCTAAGAAGCCTTTTCCCCTTCCCCTACCCCTTGCGCGCGCCACCAACTTATGTCTCCCCAGTAAGATACCCGTTTGATTAGTTCTTTTGCGATCCCGCGCCACGCCCGACAGCCGGCCTCTCCTCCGCCGGGCCGCGCAGGCGGCCGACGCCGGCAGCGGCGGGCACTTGCAGCACGGCTGCGGCCACGCCGCGGGTGGCCACGGGCAGAGCGACGGACACTGTGTAGAGGCACCCGCTCCAGTCTTGCTGCCGTGTCATGACTTAGGTACACACCAGCAGCATGGAACCCTCATCTGTTCGAGGTGCGGTTTTTACGCGCAGAAGTGAGCTTGGCATTTGATTGAGAAGTGTCAGGGACGTCCTACACTGCATGGGGAGAGGGCCCCAGGAAGATTACCCAGGGGCGATGGAGTCTCAGCAGCTAGCTCCAGAGAGATGCGCTGGCTGCAGGTGCAGTACACAGAGGTCTTGCCAAGGGCTGGAGACAGGATCAACACAAGCAGATCCGGTCTTGCTGCCGTCGCGTGGTCGCTTGAAGTAATGCTGGTCCGTTCCAACGAGGGCCTCGCCTGCGGCGCGTCCTCGCTCTCGGCGGAGGCCGGCGGACGCAGAGCGGCGGCGGCCCTCCGCTCGCGGAGCCTTGCGGCAAGGCCGGCGGGAGTGAAGGATGCGTGTCTCGAGCCCTGCCACGTGTGGATGGCGGCCGTGGCCGTCCTCTGCTCGCTCCGAGGCGGGAGTTTACACGTGACCACCGCCTGGAGGATCAATTTTCGGATCGGCAGGCGGTGGACATGGACATATTCGGGCCCCTGGGGGGCCAACATATGTCCAGGTCCACCGCCCGCTGGGGTACCAGGACGTCGGTTCCCAGGCGGTGGATGTGGATAAATCCCCGCCTTGCACTCACGTCTCTAGTCACGGGCTCTCGCCTTCTGCAGGCTGGCTTTGCAGACTGTTCGCGGCGCCGTCACAGGAGAGCTGCACAGACGCCCGCGCCCGAGCCACCCAGGGCGCAGCCCAGCCCACCTTTCGGCGGCACTTGCAGCAGCCTGCTTTTGGATGGTCAGTTTTCCCTCGCCCGTTGGGCGTTGTTTGACCTGTCGAGCATGCACTCCAGCGTCGCCAGATAGCACGGTGCATCATGCCAGTTGCCAAGATGCGCTCGACCAGGGCTCCCCAAATGTTCCAGGAATCGCAGCAAGGTGAGGGAATGCCGTCGAGGCGCCCGACACAGAAGTTCAAAGGAACGGGTGTATACTGGGCATTGGCTCGGGATGAAAACTTCAGGACTCCTCCAAAAGGGGAAATACCCAGAGTGACAATCGTCCCCAGCACTATTGTAAAGCATTGCGCTACCGGGATGCATATCTTCGTATGCCCATCGTTTTTTCTGCGACGGCACCGGCGCTGTATAACCGACCCTAGATACACCGAGGGCGTTGGCCCTTCTGAGGGTCAGACCGTAGCGTATGCGTTTTGCTGGCAACATGGCGCACAGTGGGCATGACAACTGGAAACGTGTCCTGCTAGATGGCGCCCTGCGGGGATACATTGTTTCCGTCGGCCATTGGTACCCAGTGGAGTCCTCGGGCATCCCGCGAGTTCCCAGATCGACAAAACACTGTGCACTTCTACGTTTGCAGCAAAATATCTTAGCGCATGCAGTATGAGCTCCACGATCTCAGTTTGATTAGGCATGCATTGGCCGCAACGTCCCGCATGGCTACGACTCCGCTCCCGCTGCCAGCCCGAGTTCAACCAGAGAAGCTTGATTTCATTGTCATGACGGAATACTCACTCGCGTGACGAAGGTCTTTGTTCCGTGCCGACGCTTGCTTTGAGCAGTCTAGACCACGGAACTTTGGAAGCATCGGGCGGCATAGTTGTGGCAGGCTTTGGCTCCGTCTTCTGACTTTGCTGCGCATGTGGGCCCAAAGTTGTCTCTCACACACCGCCGTGGACCTCGAGACGAGGCGTTCGGCATCTTCTGTTCGGGTTCCGACCCGCAAGTGCCAGGTCAGCGCCAGGCTCAGTGAAAGGGAAGTTGGGGAGGCATCCATGGTCTGCTGTTTCCAGGGCTCCCTACGTGAGAGTTCACGGCCGATAGATGCGGCCGTAAGAGTTCACTAAAAGCGTCCACGGCCAGTGGGAGCTGGGACCAGACGGTCTTGAGGCCTGACGGGCCTCCGGACGCGTGGGCCAGCGTTGCCCAAGAGCGGTAGGGTGTTCTCTGCCACACATGTGGAGGCGAAGGGCGAGGTCGAGTCCGAGGCCAGGATTCATACATATACAGCGCCTGGGGAACCAATCTTCCTGGACTTGAGGATGCCGTGGACGGGTGCGCTTGGGCCCCACTGGGCCTGAACATACCTATATCCTACCCCTTGGGTCCTGGGAAGGTGTTTCCCCCAGCCGGTGGATGTGTGCAAAGTCTGGCTCCGCAGGGAGGAAGGATGCGAGAGAGGACGGGCGAAGAGGCGTGCTGTTGACAGGGTGCCTGGGCGACCTGGGCGTGTCGCGCCTCGTGCCAATCACAATTTGTCGGTAGGCGCTGCGCGGTGCCAGATCAGCCTCCAATCTCCCGATCGTCCTGCTTCACGTCATCCCTTCTCGTCCTTCCTCCTCCCTCTTCCTTACTTCCCTCCTTCCTCCTCCCCCCTCCCCTTCCTCCTCCCACCTTTCGCACTCTTTCGTCCCAACCTGTCGTCCCCGCGTGCCTCCTTCCACGCGTTCCTTGCCACACGCATCGCCGCTCTGCCTTATATGAGACCCCCGCCGATGAGGCGATTCCCCCGACGCGTCTGCGACCGAAGTCGCTCAGCTTCACCAAGAACGCTCACGGTGGCGCTCTCTGTTGGATGCTGCATTCCCTCACATTTTAGCGTGCTTCTTCCAGCTGTTGTGGGCCTCAGACCTTCACCAAGAACGTTCACGGTGGCGCTGTCTGTTAAACGATGCATCCCCTCACACTTTAGCGCGTGCTTCTTCCAGCTGTTGTGTGGGCCTCAGGACCCTCCTGGTGAGATATATCGTCGTTACCCGCGAATGCACACGGGGTGGCTCCTGCCGCTGGGCTCGTCCGAGGCACGAGGAAGAAGAGGCCGACAAAGGGAGGAGCAAAACACACGCGGCAGTCGCGTCGGGCTTGCTCGCCCTGCCCCCTATGCCCCCCTGCTATATCTAGGAGGCCACATGCGAACCCTACCCCCTACCCCCAACAATCTCTGAGGCGAGCAAAGTGAGCCCCACCCTTCCCCTCAGAAATCGTGGGGGGTAGGGGTAGGGTTCGCATGTGGCCCCCTTGCAACATCTTCGCTGCCCAAACGGGTAGTCTGCAGCTGCCTCAGATGCGAATGCCTGCCGCGCGTGACCCATTCAATATGTGAGCTGCGTCCGCAACTCGTTACCGATCCCGACACCTGTCTGAGGGAATCATCTCGCAAGTTGCGCACCGTTTTATGGGAGGTGCGCGTGCGCCGTTTGCTTAATCGCTGCCGCACCTCGTTGGGGAAGGGGGTGGGACTCGCCAAACTTCTTGTTCATGTTGTTGGGGGTTGTTTCGCTGGGGCGCGTGGGGCAGAAACGGCTGTGCCCGGGCGCGATTGCGGGAATGGCGGGCGACGTGGAATGAGTTCGGGAATGTTTACGTATTCACAAGTGGTGTTTCTGTTGTTCTGCCTCGCCATCGCGTTCCTGGGGGCGCGCCAGAGCGCGACGTGTCTCGATACATGGATGGTTGGCCGCGCCACCTGCTTGGGATGGACCTGTCCCCCTGAGCGGCCCCACCCTGTCTCCCCCCCTCTTGCGGCCGTCACTTAGTTCTCTTTCCCCTCTCCTTGCGTTGTTGCACAATTCGCTCTACGGTGCCCCCGTTCTGCCTCATCGCCAGCGCAGCGACTCTGACTTGCCGCCGACGAGAAACGTCTCGATGCATGGGCGCTCATAGGCCCGTGGGGGACGGGGTCTTTATGGCTTGGGGGTAACTGCGTCAGTTCCCCCAGGCCCGAACAAGTAATCCCTAAACCGTTGGGGGCCGATCCACTGGGGGGGTGAGTTCGGACAGTCTGGGAGGTCTCCGTCTCCGTGGCTTCCCCCTGGAAGGTTGCCGCGCGGGCTGATCTCCTCCCGTTGAGTCACCCTGCGCGCTCATAGATTCCGTTCACCGTTTGTGCGGCACCCTTGCGGAATTTCAGTTGACACGTCGTCTGACCCATTTGTCTGCCATTTGGTTCCAACACGCGCGCCAATGCATAAACTCTTGGGCGAAGCGGTTTCGCACTGTCAGACGTCGGCCGCAATGTCGATGGAGCGGATTCGCCACCATAGTGGACAATGGCAGGGGTAATGATTTCACAACGCACTACGGTCAGGGACTTTGGCTTAGCGTATCGCTGGCTAGTTCAGGCCCGCCATGTTTCGACACGACACGAAAACAACGTCCCGTCCTTGTTCTCCCCGTCAGCGTCCCAAACGAGCCTCCCGCTCCCAAGCGGAGCGACCCGCTATCCGGCTGCGTGCGGCCCTGGCACCCGCTGCGACACACTAAGCATAAGGTCGTGACCGTACATTCAGGCGCATTAGTTGGGTCGCTCCTGGCTGCCTCGTAGCCACGTGTGCTTCCGCCACACGTTCACATCGCACTCCCGCGCAGAGCCACGCCTGTCGGAGTGCATGCGTCTGTTTGTGGTGGTTCGCGGTCTCCCCTGCCTCTTCCACCCGCTCCCTCCCATGGACAGCGAAGGCCTTCTCACTCCTCCGTGCACCACACCTGCTTGCGACCCGCTGGCCACCTCACACTGACCAGCCACAGCTTGGGGAGCTGTGGCCCGCAATCCTTGGGAGCCCCAGCGGCTCCGTTACCCCGCTCGAGAGATCGTTCATACGATGGGAACTGTTCAGGGGGTAGATGTTGATGGCCAAAGAGCAACAAAAGCTCGCGTCGTCTTTCAAACTGTGGCTATTGATATGCTTCGCATGTCGTGCAGAACCTTGCATCTCTTCAACAGGAACGCGATGGTGGGGTCGTTCTGCTGGCGTGGCATTGATGCTGCTTTTGCCATCCAGGGCGAGGACCACAGCTCACCCAGTTGAGGCTGGTCGGCTCACAGCTGCCTCGCGCCCCCGCAGCTGCCCCATCGCCAAGTCGCCGAGGCTCCCTTCGAGCTTCCCTGTCCGGTCGCCCGCCAGGTCATGGCCACGGCAGCTCCTGCGGCGCCGGCTGCTCGCACGGGGAGGGCGACGATGACCTAAGGTCAGAGGCCTATCGGCGCCTTGCCTTTCCGTTCCTGACTTTTCTCCTCTCCTGTCCTCCTTGCCTTGCCTCTCCTCGCCTTCCTTGTCGTCGTCGTCGTCGTCGTCGTCGTCGTCGTCGTCGTCGTCGGCGCCTATCGGCGCCTTGCCTTTCCTGTCCTCTCTTCCCCTTGCCCCTCCTCGCCTTCCCTCTTTTGGGGGGCGGTCCCCCGCCCTGCCCCATGGGCCCGCGGGCGGGGGTGCCCACGCCCGCGGGCCCGCCCGCGCTGCGGCGCAGATTGGCGAGGCAGGGGCTCAGCATCGTGAAACCGACATCTGATCCCCATCCCCATCCCTACAGTGGAGGCCCATGCCAAGAAGCACATGCTTGCCTCCAGGGTGCCCTGGGTGTCTTGGGTTTCGGTGGTTCTGTTATGGATGGCGTGACGTTCCCACACCAGAAATCAAGGGACCTCTGCGCTCAGGGTTGGGTTTATTGTGGAAGGGTTCTTGTGGACTGGCCTCCACTGTATCCAGACACCCACCATCTCAGCACCACAATTGGGGATATACCCTTCGAAACCCGGAGGGAGCGGCCTACATGCCCAACTAGGGGGGGCGAATCGGCCCATGGGGCCCAGGCCGCGCCGTCGGGGATAGGGGTCGGATAAACGGTGCGCATCTGCTTATGCTATGTGCCGGTCCTCCCGTCGTGGAAGATATCGCGGCGGAGGGTTTTTGTTCCAACGTTTCGGCCTCTGGGCTCTGATCTGGTGTCCCTGGCCGGGACCATCGGGGCCGTCAACATATGCCACGGGGTCCAGAGCTGGCCTCAGGGGCAACGATACGGGGGGATAGGCGTAGGGGGAGATGCATCGACCCCCAATCGCCCATTGATCGCCGATAGGGGCCCGATAGCCCTGGCCTGCCCAGGAGCTTGCGGATTCACTATCCAGGGCCCATCGCCGATCTATCGGCGATGTATCGCCGATTCCAGGTCGATGTTTCCCCCCTATGCCTATCCCCCCATATCGTTGCCGTTCATAGACACCGGGAAGGGGTCGGGGCCTCGGGAGGTCCACGTTCTTCAAGCCTCACGACGTCGAAGGTCTGGGAGCAGAGAATGTGGAAACCACATTCGCGAGCATCAATTCTTGGGCGTCCGTGGAATATTTCTCGGCTGGCGCGGACACCAAGGCTCCTTTAGCTTAGACTGCGCGAGAGTGTAGGGGAGGCGGTGGCGTCTGGCGCTGGCGGAGAGACCGTCCGCGGATGTCCGCGCATCTGTGAGCCTGCTGCTTCTGCAGCCCTCCGACGTGCTAATATTTTCAGAGCGCGGGCCCCCGCAAGTCTGGACCAGTCCCCGGGAACTGGCTCTCCATCCCGAGTCGCTTTTGGATGGCCCCGGGACCCGGCGAGGGCCCCCCAGAGACCGAAACGGTCCAGGCCTCAAGCTGTTTGTGCAACGCGAGGCGGTCTGGCACGTCCGAGCGTCTGCGAGCGCGTTGCTGCTGGCTCTCGCGCCCTCTGCTCCGCACGAGCCGGTGCGCCCGACTGGACCGCCGCCGCTGCTGCCGCGGAGATCGCGCCGCGCGGCTCTGGCGGCGAGACGTTCGTCCCTGGGGGTCGTAGGAAGCCAGCCTGGCGGACCATGGTGGGTGCGGGAAGAAGGTTGACAGAAAACAGCATTGGAGTCGGCTGGGGGTCTGAGGTGGCCCAGCGCTGGTTCAGCGAGCAGGAGGGGGGGCCAGGTTTAGAGGTTTTGGGTTCGAGAAAGGTTTTTCGTTTCTGTTTCGGTCCCCAGGGGCCGTTTTCGGGCCCTGGGGCCGTCGGAAACGGACCTGGGCTGAAAACTATGCACCAGATGGAGAGCGGGATGGGTCCAGGGACAGATTTTGAGTGGATTTGGCCTTATCTCCCCGTCCTAACCGATTATCTGGGGTCCCAACCACTTCAGACCCCTGGCCTGCAAGACCAACACGAGTTCTTATCGATGTTGGTCAGGCTTCGCTGTCGGCGATTTCATGGACGTTGTCCGCTCGAGGCCGCAAGTCGCCTGCCCGACATCGGTTGCTGTCCGTTTTCGACAACATGTGCTGTTGAGCACTGCTAGGCCCCCCATAAAAGTACAGCCTGCAGCCAAGGCGTTGCAATATGGAACTGTTCAGGGTCGGAAGGGGGTCGTTGTTCCGTAGGTCCTTCCATGGTTGCTCCTCTTCGCGCTCTTCCTGCACGCAGGCTTTTTTTTGCTGCCAAGGAGGGGCTGTCATCATGGTAGCAGCTTGACTGTACATGTATTCCAGATCTTGCCAGGCCAACCCTGGGCCGAGGACCAGTGCGTCGTACGTTCTCCTGGATCGACCGATTCTAGGCCCAGGATCCCAGATACCTTAAGCTTGCATTATGTTCGATGCGTGGGCCCCCGGGTCCGGCTTCTTATCCCATGTGATCTTTTGATGGCCCCGAGGCCGTTCTCATTTTTTTTTTGTGTTTCTTCTTCTTCTTCTTCTTCCTCCGCGTCCCCTCTTTTGGGGGGGTGTTTAGGCTTCCGGGCTGTCCTCTCCGTCCAGCTCGTGGTTTCGGGGATCCTCGTCGCCGCCGTCTCCATCCTGCTCTTGGTTACCTCATTCCTTGATCGGGCTTCAAACCTAGCCCTCAAGCCGTGAACGAACGAACGAGGAGGAGGAGGAGGAGGAGGAGGAAAATGAGGAGGAGGACACTGAGGGGGAGCACTCCTGGAGGTCTTCCTGGGGACTGGCTGTTTCGACTGTCACGGGGCTCTGCATGGGGGCGCCCGCAGAGGACAAGAATTGAGAACAAATGCTTGTCGCTATGTGATCACGGCGCGCAAGAATTCGGGAGGGAGGAGGAGGAGGAGGGAGAGGAGGAGGAGGAGGAGGAGGAGGAGGAGGAGAAGGAGGAGGAGGAGGAAGAGGAGGAGGAGGAGGAGGGAGGACGAGGAAGGAGGGAGGAGGATTGAGGATGGAGGATGGAGTATGGAGGACGGAGGATGGAGGATGGAGGATGGAGGATGAGGAGGAGGAGAAGGAGGAGGCTGAGGAGGAGGAGGAGGAGGAGGCACGACGATGGATAGGAGGAGCATGGAGGATAATGAGGAGAAAGAGAAGGATGACGCGGGGTAAGGAGCAGAAGCAACGCCAGCATGCGACCCGGATCGGAGCCAGGCCAGTCACGATTGGTCCGATCGGTTCGTCCCAGCTGGTGCTCTGGCTCGACGGACCGCCGCCAGAGTGCAGCTGGTCTTCACGGGTCGGGCTGCATCCCCCCACCTCGTCGCGCCATGAACAAGACCGCGATTCGTTGGAGGTTCGTCGCGTCGTCGCGTCGTGAACAAGACCGCCCGTGTATCGAAAAAGTCGGAGATCCGGAGGTCTGGCTTCACGGGTGCCAGCCGTAGGCCCCGCCTGGCTTCCACAGGGTTGCGCCTACATTGAAGGGCATGCGCGCTGCACTACGAGCCTCCCCACCCACCTCCATCCCCTTCCCCCGTCGCCCCTCCCCTCGTCGTCCTCCTCGGTGAGCGGTGGTGACGTCTTACAGTACGTCTCCTGCCCAGTATCCCGTCACCTTCTTTGTCGGATCCTCCCCTCTCTTGCACATTCGTATGCTGAAGATCCTCTGAGCGCCTTTCTCCCCCACCTGTTCGCATTACCCTGCCCTCTAATCTGCCTGCTCTCGACTTCTCCTCCTGCTCTCGACTTCTCCTCCCCTTCTCCCTCCACTCCCCCGTAGACGGCCTGAGAGTCGCGCGCCCCCCTCGGCGTATGGTCCGGTCTGTCCGAGCCTGCCTCTCGTGTTTGCTTTTCCAAGCCGAACCCTCTGCTTGTCCTTCGAAAATGCGTTCCCACTGCAGCGTGGGCCACATTTTCGGGTCGGCGCTCTGCTCCCGTCGTTCAGAATTGCGCCCGCGCCCCAGCGCGGGCAACTTCCCTGGATCCAGGTCCTTCCTTAGCATTGTCGCCCCCTCCTTTCCCCTCCGCCGCCTTTCCCTGGTCCTCCTGCTCCTCCCGCTCCTTCCACTCCAGCTCCTGCTGCTATTGTTCGTCCTCGTCCTCTCCTCCTTTTCCTCATGCTCATTCTCCTGCTCATCCACCTCCTCCTCCTCCTCCTCCTCCTCCTCCGATGTATGCAGCTCCCCCTCTCCGATTGCACGTGCCACGATTAGGTCGGTTACAGGTCCGCCTTGAGATGCGTCCGCGGAAACAGAAACAACGCAATGGAAAGGGATGGGTGGGAGGGGTCGGATGTCAGATATGGCGCGAACGCACCCAGCTTGATATACATACTGCTTTCCTCTCTCCCCCGTAGCATCCTGAGAGTCGCGCGCCCCCCTCCGCGTATTCTAATGTTTCACAGGTTAGGTTGGGTCCCAATGTGTTCTCAGTATGTGTGTCCCCCTCCGAGCCTTCTTCTGTCCTTCACCAATGGTGTTCCCGCTGCAGCGCGGGCCTCGTTTGAGGATTGGGGCCTTTGCTCCCGTCGTTCAGAACTGCGCTCTCGCCCCAGCGCGGGCAACTTTTCTGGATCCGAGTCCTTCCTCATTGTTGTTGTCCCCTGCTTTCCTACCCTCCGCCTTGCCCTGGTTCTCTTGCTCCTCCCTCGCCTTCCACTCCAGCTCCTGCTGCTGCTGCTGCTGTCCGTGAGCAGGAGACTCACCAGCTGTCCAGGCTTCTGACTCCGACTCCGACTCCTGCTCATCCGCCGCATCATTCGCCACCCCGTCCTCCAATGTACGCAGCCCCCCCCCCCTTGTCCGATCGCGCGGATAGCACGAATGGGTCCTTTTTGGGGCTCCAGGTCCGCTTTGACACGCATCCACGGATGTAGAAGCAACAGCGCAATGGGAAGGGATGGGTGGGAGGCATCAAATATCAGATATGGCGCGAGCGCGCCTAGCTTGTTTTATCCCTTTTTCCGCTCCTCCTCCTCCTCCTCCTCCTCCTCCTTCTCCTCTTCTTCCCTCTCCGTCCTGCGTGTCCTTCTCCCTCCCCTGCCGCACCGAGGTCGCCCGACCTGACCCCGAGGCACCCGGGGCTGCACGCCGCGCAACAGGACTTCACCGTCCAGGGGATCCACCTGGCGACGCCCAGCCACTGCCAGTTCGCAGAGGCTCTGCCCGGGTCGCCGTCCTGCGTGGCCTGCGCGCTCTCGACACGGAGCATAGATTTAAGTCGGGCCTGTCCCTCTACAGCGGGAATATTCAAGAATAGGGACAATAGTCTGGGGACGATGTTTGTACCATTAGTGACTCTGTTCGAACACTTCCCAACCATCCTGTGGTGCTGGGTCCTTGTTTTGAAGAGACGTTGCCCCGCGTTCCTCTCCTCTCCTCCCCCTCCTCCCTCCTCCTCCCTCCTCCCCTTCTTCCCTGCGCTTCACCCACCCAGTACAGCGTTTCGTGGGAAGGTCCCAGTGCTACCGTCCGCATGCGTCCCCCCCACCCAGTACAGCGCTTCGTCGCCCCCTCCTCCCTCCTCCCTGCGCTTCATCAATCCAATACGACGCTTCGTGGCCCCATAGGGAGCCCCACCGAAGGCCACAGTGCTACGGTCCGCATGCGTCCCCCCCACCCAGTACAGCGCTTCGTGGCCCCATCCTCCCTCCTCCCCTGCGCTTCACCTACCCAGTACAACGTTTCGTGGCCCCATAGGGAGCCCCACCGAAGGTCCCGGTGCTACTGTCTGCATGCGTCCTCTCCCCCACCCAGTACAGCGTTTCGTGGCCCCCTCCTCCCTCCTCCCTGCGTTTCACCCACCCAGTACAGCGTTTCGTGGCCCCATAGGGAGCCCCACCGAAGGTCCCAGCGCTACGGTCCGCATGCGTCCCCCCAACCAGTACAGCGCTTCGTGGCCCCATCCTTCCCCTTCCCTGCGCTTCACCCTCCCAATGCAGCGGTTCGTGGCCCTATACGCAGCCCCACCGAAGGTCCCAGTGCTACCGTCCGCATGCGCCCCCCCCCCCCCCCAGTACAGCGTTTCGTGGCTCCCTCCTCCCTCCTCCCTGCGTTTCACCCACCCAGTACAGCGCTTCGTGGCCCCATAGGGAATCCCACCAAAGGTCCCAGTGCTACCTTTCGCATGCGTCTCTCCTAGTCAGTACAGCGCTTCGTGGCCCCATATTGAACCCCACCGAAGGTCCCAGTGCTACCGTCCGCATGCGTCCCGCACACCCTGTACAGCGCTTCGTGGCCATAGGGAGCCCCACCGACGGCCCCAGTCGGACCGTCCGCATGCGTCCCGAAAACCTAATTGGCATTTTCGCCCACCCAGTACAGTGCTTCGTGGCCCCATGGGGAGCGACCGAAGCCCCCACTGGGACCGTCCGCGTGCGTCCCGGAAACACAATGTGGCATTTTCACCCACCCAGTACAGCGTTTTGTGGCCGCATAGGGAGCTCCGCCGAAGGCCCCAATGCCACTGTGCGACTGCGTCCGAAAGCCCAAGTTGGCATTTTAATCAGCCCAGTGCACTGATTCGATGCCCCATAGGGATCTCCACCGAAGCCCCCCAGTGGGACCGTCCGCATGCGTCCCGTCACCCAAATGTGGCATTTTCGCCCACCCAATACATCGTTTCGTGGCCCCATAGGGAGCTCCACCGAAGCCCCCAGTGGGATCCCCGACCTAAGCATAGATTTGCGGAGGTCCGTGCGGGTTTCTTGGGTCTTCGCTCGGGTCTGGCGCGGACCCACGAGATCCGCGCGGACCTCCAAGCAACAGTCCATATGGCCATGCATGCCTATATCGCTACACTGCCTGCGTCCCCATCCTCTTCCCATGGCCTCGTCCTTCCGCGCGTCCGCCGGTTGCCGTGCTTCTCGTACATGTCTGGTCACAATGCAGTGCTTGTCACTCAGGGGGTCTGATGCGCGTGCGCCTCGTGCGCGCCCCGTGCGCTGGGTGGGTTTCGGAGGTGCTGCCGCGTTCGCGCCCGTGCCCGCTCGTGGGTGCTTCGTGGGCGCCCCGTGCCCTTTGGCGGCGTTCCCAAGGTTTCGCCACGCCTGCGCCCGTGTCTTCTCGAGGGCGACGCGTGGCCGCCGCGTGTGCGCCGCATAGCTGATAACGCAGACCTCTCTCTCACACACACACACACCACAGCTCTCGCCGCATATGATATACACGACACCGTTTATATACACCACATAGCTTGCGCAACGCACTTCGCACCGCAAAGCTCACGTCACTAGGCATAGGCTGTCACAACACAGCTTACAATCTCACACCGCGCAGCTTACACGTCTAGCTCACACCACGTAGCCCACACCGTGTATTTGTCGGTAGGTGCACATAAACATACACAGCTCACGGCCACGGGCGCTGCGAAGAAGGACGCGGTCACGATCTGGAAGGAGGTTGGCTTCGCTCGTGCGGCAGTGCTCTCGAAGCGGCACCTGGCCGAGGCAGAGGTGGCGCGCTCCGCCTCGCCGTCGGCCTGACGGCGAGGCGTCCCGAGGCCCAGCTGGTGGCGGAGTCCGCTCGCGGGCGCCGCGCTCGCTCCCCTGGTGGGGGCCATGCCGCGCACAACGAGTGGTTGTCCTAATGCGCGCGTTTCTCGGCTTCGTCTTCAACTCACTCTTACTTGATGTTTGGGTTCTCACCGCTACGCTTTTCAAGCTTAGTTCGATCGCTGGCATGTGGGCTCTTCCTTGCTCTTTCCATCGCTGTGTAGTATTTTGGAGTGTAGTAGCTCGTGTTGTCATTATCGTTGTACCCTCTGGTTCTGTGGTTCATCTTGTCCGGACAAGGCCTGGCTCGCATTTTGCGGCTCGCACTGGGGACCGAGGGCTCTGGGCACAAACGCGAGCTTCGATGCTCAGGCCAGGCTGCCTGGCTTAGCAGACCCATGGATTGTAGCCGATGTTGCTCCCGTGGTGGATCTGCGGGAGTTCTCCGTTCCACATGTACTCAGTCTAGGGCGTTGTCCTGCATTTGCGCTCCCCCATCCTCGGCTTCCTCTCGTTGAGGTGCGGCTGCTGAGGCGTAGCCTGCGTCAAAACGAACACCAGCCTGACACTTGCATCGTGTGTCCCTCAGCGTTGCATTTCAGTTCGCCCCGTTGCCGGCAGTCCACGGGAGGAGTGGTTGGCGGCGAGATGGAGGAACAACAAAACGAACTCACACATCGTAGCGCGGACATCGCAGCTTGAACAGCATAGCTTACACCACATAGCTCACGCAAATTGCATCAACTGATTTCCGTTGTCCGGTCTCGCTCTCTCTCTCTCTCTCTCCCTCTTCCAAGTTTACGCATACATGCAGATGCACATTTAAGATGCGCTCTCTCTCTCTCTCTCCCCCTCTCCCCCGCCTTCTGTCGTATCAACTATTTGCTCTCTCTCGATCTCTCTCTCTCTCTTTCCCACCCTGTCTCTCTCTATCTCTCTCTCTCTCTCTCCTCTGTCTGTCTGTCTGTCTGTCTGTCTGTCTGTATGTATGGATGGATGGATGGATGGATGGATAGATGGATGGATGGATGGATGGATGTGTACATATATATATATATAAATACATATATGTATGTATATATATATATATATATATAATATATATATATATATATTATATATATATGTACAGGGCCGGGGACCCCGGAAAAGCGGCACACGGTGCCCCCCCCCCTCCCCAAACGAATTTCGGCCTCCCCGAGCCTTTGGGGCGCTCCTGCAGAGTGCTCTGTGTCTGTCCTGCGAGTGCGACGCGACAAAAAAAACCCACGACGGCCAAAGAGGGCCCCGAGACACCCAAAGATCGGCCCAAGACGCCCAATCTGGGCCCAAGACTGCCCAAGACGCGTCCAAGACGTCCCCAGAGACCCCCGAGAGGCCCCCCAAGAGAGCCCCGAGAGGCTACAATTGTTGATTTTCCTGTGTGTTTTCCGATGTTTTTGGCCTTCTCGCTTTTCCCGCTTCCCGGCGCTCCACAATGGCCCAAGAGGCTCCCTAGATCGCCCCAATATTGCCCCAGAGGCCCCCAAGAAGGCCCCAACACGGTCCAGGAGGGCTCCGAGACCGCCCAAGAGGCGCCCAAGACGGCCCAAGAGAGCACCAAGACGGCCCCAAGAGAGATCCAAGAGGGCGCCCAAAAATTCAAAAACTAAATTTTCCGCCGCGAGAGGGCCCCAAGACGCCCGGAGAGAGCCCCATGAGGCCCCAAGAGGCTCCCAAGAGGCCCCAAAAAGATCCCAAGAACTTCAAAACACCCCCAAGAGGCTTCAAAACTGCCTCCCAGAGGGCCCCGAGAGGCGCACCACGAGATCCCAACACAGCGGTCTCCCCCTATCATTATCCCTTCTCTTTGTCGTCGCCTTCGTCGTCGTCGTCGTTGTCGTATCAAATGGCGCAGCGAGGCCATTCTTCGTTCAAACCACCGAAGGACCCAAGAGCTCCTCCTCCTCTTCCTCATTCTCTTCCTCCTCTACCTCCTCCTCCTCCTTCTCTTAATTCCCCGTGATGTTTCACGTTCCGCCCCGCCAAAGGTCTAGCAGAAGCAGCTCTCCTCACTCTCCCAAGTCTCTGCTGCGGATTTCTTCCGCGACACCTCGGCTGTGCCCCAGATATCCACATAATATGTCCTCTTCATCCTCTTCCTCCTCTTCATCCTCCTCCTCTTCCTCCTCCTCCTTCTCCTCATCCTCTTCATGTTCCTCCTCCCGCCTCGACTGAGCTTCTCGCAACGCTCAATGCAAACCGTCGGGGCCGCGACGCCATCTCATCCGGACGCGCTGTTGGTGCCCTGGCCTACCTTGCCGGAGAGGGCCGGCCGAATCCGAGGAGCCCCTGGGGGATTTCAAAACCTGCGCCGCCTCTTGCACCACCTTCGGGCCCCCTTGGCGGCCCGGGAAAAAACCGCTCCTAATTCGGGGGGGTTCTCTCGCCCTTTGCCGCTGGATTCGCAGAAAGGCCGACCGGCGCCGCGCCGCGCCGCCAGGGATGGGGAGAATGCGCAAAAAAAGAAGTGGAGAGGGGGGGGAGGGAGAGGGGGAGGAACAGGAGGAGGAGGGGGAGGAGGAGGAAGAGGAGGAAAGGAAAAGGGGAGGAGGAAGAGGAGGCAGCGGGAAGTAGTCTAATCCGCTTCGCCAGAGATATGCTCGCAACTCCGACCTCGGAAGCGC